GAACGCAGAAATAATCAAACAATATTTTAATGTCACACACAAGTTAAATTTTGCTAAACTAAAAAAAAAAAACAAAACAAAACAAAAAAAAACCTCACTGCTGTTGAGTTGATTCTGACTCATAGTGACCCCTACTTGGGTTTTTGAGGCAGTATCTCTACAGAGGTAGATTGCCCAGTCTTCCTTCCAAGGAGTGGCTGATGGGTTTGAACCACCAGCCTTCTGATTAGCAGTCAAATGCCTTAGGCACTATGCCATAGAGTATGATCGCATCATTATGTTGACAGGGAACTTCCAGAAATTCAAGCCAGATTCAGAAGAGGATGTCGAATGAGGGATATCATTGCTGATAGCAGATGGATCTTGGCTGAAAGCAGAGAATACCAGAAAGACGTTTACCTGTGTTTTATTGACTATGCAAAGGAATTTGAATGTGTGGATTGTAGTTTACACTGTAAAGAATTAGAATTCCAGAACACTTGATTATGCTCACGCAGAACCTATACATAGACCAAGGGGCAGTGATGTGAACAGAACAAGAGGATACTGTGTGGTTTGAAACCAGGAAAAGGGCATGTCAGTGTTACATCTTTTCACCATACTTACTCCGTGTGTATGCTGAGCAAATAATCCAAGAAACTGGACTATATGAAGAGGAATGCAATATCAGGTTTAGAGGAAGATTCATTAATACCTGTGATATGCAGATGACAACAACTTAGCTTACTGACAGCAAATATGGATTACACCTCAACATAAAGAAAACAAAAAATCCTCACACCTGGACCAGTAAGTAACAACAGGATAAATGGAGAAAAGAATAAAATTCTCAAGGATTTCATTTTACTTGGATCAACAGTCAACACCCATGGCAGCTGCAGTCAAGAATCAAATGACACATTGCATTAGGCAAATCTGCAAAAGACCTCTTTGAAAGTACTGAAAAGCAAAAACGTCACTTTGATGTCTAAGGTGTTCCTGGCCCAAGCCATGGTATTTTTGATTGCCTCATAAGCATGTGACAGCTAGATAATGAATAAAGAAGACCAAAAAAGAATTGAAGTGTTTGAATTATGGTGTTGGTGAAGAATATTGTATATACTATGGACTGCCAGAAGAACCAATAGATCTGTCTTGGAAGAAGTACAGCAGGAATACTTCTTAGAAGTGAGGGTGACTCACCTTTATCTCACATGCTTTGGGGATGTTATCAGAAGGGCCTAGTCCCTGGAGATGGATATTATGCTTGGTAAAGTACAGGTCAGTGAAAAAGAGTAAGACCGTCAATAAGATGGATTGACATAATGGCTGCAACAGTGGACTAAAATATAGAAATGGTTTTAAGGACTGGGCAGTGTTTCATTTTTTTTGTGCTTAAGATTGTTATGTTGGAACCGATTTGTTGATACCTAACAACAAACTACTTACTCATTTGGGAGAATAAACTTTTGTGGGTGGTTTGAGAGTGTGATTTTTGTTTAAATAGTTTGAAGTATTTAAGGTGGGAAGAGGTGGGAACTGTTGAAAGATAATTATTTCTTAACGGCTTGCAAAAAGGAGTACAAGTCCCATTTTTTGTGCTTTCATGCACATTAGCTTACTGAATTTTTATAATATGCTCTGTGAGGTAGATGTTATCATCTGCACTGAACAGATGAGGATATTAGCAAAGTTAGTGATTAAAGTCAAGCCTAAGAATTTTATTTATTTCCATTCTGTAACTGGTTTAATTAACCCAGCCTAGTCAGTGACATGTGACCTTTAGCAAATCCCTGAACTGTGTTCCTTTGATTTATATCTATCTGTCCTAGTACCCAGTGCAGTACTGAACTCAACACCAGGGTATCTTTAACACATTAAGGGGGTTAGTAGACTGAGGGTTGAATTTATAAAAGCCTGGCCAAAAGTTTGTGTTTCATTTCTCTGAAAGGAGAGCATTGTTGGGGTATTGTATATTATCTTCCAGAAAAAGAGACCACAAGGTTTCTTTATCTGAGTTATATGCCTACAACTTGCTAAAAACCCAATACAGTGGCTGATATCTGGTGGGTTTGACTTGTAGATTTTCTCAGAGTGAAACATATCCCAAGGTACAGTGTGTGACCCACAGTGCTCAGTCACCTTGTCTGAGTCTTAAATAAGATATGAGATGCATAGCTCTGTCTTTAATGACATTACAGAACGTGTTTGGTGCTCAGGATACAAAATGGTGTGAGTCTGATCTAAGGAAACCAGCAGATACCAGTAACACCAGAGAACAACATGTTGTTGTGGAAGGAAGTGGAAAGCAAGACAGGGTTCACTGAAGCCTCTTGTAAAGAATGGAGCAGCCTTTCCATGAGGTCCAGCTTGGTCCAGAGAATGGTTCTTGCCAGCCCTGTGTTAGGGAGTTGGACAGAGTGTGGTTGAGAAATTCTTGTTCTTGTTAGTTGCCGTTGAGTCGGCTCCAACCATGGTGACCTAACAAACTGAAACGTTATCAAGTCTTGTGTCATCTTCATGATCACTGGTATGTTTGAGTCCATTATTGTGGTTATTGTGTCAGTCCGTCTTATTGAGGGTTTCCCTCGTTTTTGCAACCCTTCACTTTACCAACGATGATGTCCTTTTCAAGCGATCATGTGTCCAAAGTAAACGAGTCAAAGTCTTGTCATCTTCGCTTGTTGGGAGCATTCTGTTTGTATTTCTTCTAAGACTGGCTTGTTCATTCTTTCGGTGGTCCACAGTATATTTATTGTTCTTTGCCAATGCTACAGTTCAATGCTTTGATTCACCACTAACACTCAGACACGGTCAGAGCATGGCTAGCCCCTTCCCTCTGACATGCTCATTCTTCAGAAGCTTCTGGCTATTTAGAGTTTCTATTAAATCCTCCAAACTTCTTAGACATAGCTTTAAATCAGTTTTTGCTGCCAGGCAGGCCCAACTGCCTTCTTCCCCCGAGTTTTGCTGCAAGAGCTACAGATTTCACACTGTCTTAATTCCATTCTGTTCACTTTCTATTAAAATTCTGAGTAGTGATAGTGAATTTCCTGTCCTGCTGAGAGTGAAGCTGGGTGCCTGCCTTGAAGTGGGTAAAGCTGCCTTTTCCCTGTGGCTGATCCCCTGCATGAGTGATTGTCAGAGCTGCCGCTCCCCGCTCCCCAGTCCCCAATCTAGTGCTCCTGATTAACCATGCTTGTTTTTTAGATCAGTTTTGCTGTTAAATCTGCCACATAACATATTATTTTCTGTCATACTCTCTCCTCTTCCACCCTGGAAAATGTCTTGAGAGACAAGATTAAAGTTGATCTGTCTGTGTGGTTCCTTCAACACTTCCCATGGCACACTGAATTTCAGGTTCTCTATCCTTATTATGTTAAATCTTTCCTGGGTTTTAATTTCCATCTGGAAAATAACCTGGGCCAATCTTCAGGATTCAGGGTGTTTGCCGTTGTTGTGAGTTGGCTTTGACTCATGGTGACCCTATGTGCAACAGAAGAAAATGTTGCCTGGTCCTGCTCTATCTTCATGATCATCGCTATGCTCAAGTCCATTGTTGAGGCCACTGTGTAATTTGAGTGACCTCCATTCTGGGGGGCTCATTTCCTGGCACTACATAGGACCATGTTCTGTTGTGATCCGTAGAGTTTCCATAGGCTGATTTTTGTAATAGGCCTTTCTTCTTAGTCTGTCTTAGTCTGGAAGCTCTGCTGAAACCTGTCCATGAGTGACCCTGTGGGTGTTTGAAATACCAGTGGCATAGCTTTCAAGATCATAGCAATATAAGGGCTCTGTGGTATGACAGACTGACACATGGGTGGAGGTCAATGTGTTTAGTCAAATCAGATGAGTGGTTATGATTAGGGACAGTGAAGGAAGAGGACATGTGAGCATTTCCACAAGCATTTTAAGACTACCTGCCCTGAGCCAGACACTGGGACTAGCAGGACAGACGAGACAGTGCCCTATTGGTCAGTCTACTTCCGTAGTGATACTGCCTCAGAAACCCAAGGAGGGGTTGCTGTTGAGTTGGATCTGACTTGACGGCAGTGAGTTTTTGTGAGTGTATAGGAGGAGTCAGGACCCCCAATGCATGTTTATAATAGAGTACAAATTGGGTGCAGCAGGGGTGTGGAATAGCTTGCTGTCACCATGGAGAGAACACACCTGTTGAGACAGCCGCTACCCATACCACCTACAGGACAAGGGACACACACTTAGCCTGGCCAAGGCAGCTCTTCCTCTATAGAAAGGGACAGTCCCTGTCTGAGTAGATTGCAGAGAGCATTACATGGCACATGTATAAATACACTGTGTTGAGCATGCTATCTGGCAACCACTGTACACTCACATAGAAGTGTTACGATCAGATAAGATAATTTAAGTGAAAATGATTGTAAATGGAAGTGCTATAAAGCGGTTGCTGTCAAGTCAATTCCAACTCATGGTGACCCTGTGTTTGCCAGAGTAGAACTGTATTCCATAGCATTTTCAATGACAGAAAGGCCTTGTATGAGACTTACTCATGCTGCCAATCTTCCAGTCTTTTGTTTAACAGCCAAGCACATTAACTCTTTGCACCATTCAGGTTGGCTGTTTGAATCCACCCAGAGGCACCTTGGAAGAAAGGCCTGGTGTCTACTTCTGAAAAATCACCCATTCAAAACCCTATGGAGCACAGTTCTACTCTGACACACATGGGGTTACTTGAGTCAAAACTGACATGGTGGCAACTGGAAGTTCTATTAGTTACTGTGAACTTTGATCAGGGCCTCAAGGAGAAAAGAACCAACCAAGTCTCTGGAGTCTGAACATTTCATCTGTTTGACAACTGGGCTAATCCTCAAATGAGGAGACAGGTTTTGCCAGGTAGCAATGATAGAGAAGGATACATAAGGTGTAGTCTTGCCTCCTGGATCCTGCAGTCCAGAACAGAGTGGAGAGAAAATCAATGGATGGGGGATTAGGCCGGGAGGCTGGGGATGTGAAAAGGACAGGGCTGTTGTAGAGTGTACGGTATGACCAGGGTGAGGCAGGCCCTTTGCAGAATACTGAGTCTGGATTTTTACCTGCCATGGGCCATTTTCCTCGTTCTAAGGAAAGCTTGTGCTGGCTGGGTACCCTGAGTGCTGTAAGCTTTGCCTTGCCTCAGTCATAGCCCCCTTCTCTTCATCCCTCATTGTTGTTTGTGTTGTGGAACCTTGCATAAAAGTGTATTTGAAGGAAAGGGTGTTGTGATTTAGATAAACAAACAAAAGACCAAATCAGTTGCCATCACATCGACTCTGACTCATGGTAATCCTATGTGTGGCAGTTAGAATTGTTCTACAATTACAAAAATTCCAATTCTATAAATTTACAATTTATTTTACTTTTTTTGTTGTTGTTAAACATATACACAGCAGAACATACTGTTTCTGTATGTGAAACTCAGTCATGTTGATTACATTCTTTGAGTTGTGCAGGCATTCTTACCTGCCTTTTCTGAGTTGTTGCTCCTCCATTGATGTAAACTCACTGTCCGTATGGTTTTTCTAATATTTCAAGTAGCTGTTGTCAAGTTAGTACCTTATCCATAGATCTTAACAGAGCACAGTGCTGAAGGACAGACATTCTTTACTAGTTAAGCTAAACTATTGCTTGAGTTTAAGAAAACTTCAGGGGATATTTTTGGTTTCAGGCTTAAAGATTATCTCAGGACAATAGTTTCGAGGGTTCATGTTGCCTCCATGGCTCCAGAAAGTCTGGATTCTATGAGGATTTGAAATTCTGGTCTCTATTTTTTCTCTTTTGATAAAGATTCTTTTATAGAATCTTTGATCAAAATGCTCAGTAATGATAGCTGGGCATCCATAGGGTTTTCAGTGGCTGATTGTTCACAAGTACATCATAGAACTTTCTTCTGAAGTGTCTCTGCATGTAGTTGAACCCCCAGTGAGTTAGCAACTAGGTGTGTTAACCATTTGCACCATCTGGGGACTCCTAAACAACAACAAAACTGTAAATCCAAAAACAAACCTGCAATGAAGGGAGAGCTATTGGGGATTTTAAAAGAGGTGTTCTAGGTTATTTCAGGTGTCTTTAAAAGCAGAGCATTGTTTAGCCGTCTGAGCACTGTAATGTCACATAGAGAAGTAAAGGAGGCAAGTAATCACCATCTGTCCAGCCAGGACTGTCAGAGCATGGGGACCATTTGTGGCTCTTCAGGAAGATGAGTCACCCTGGAGAGTGAGCTGAATTTCTGGGGCCTGGTAAGCCTGGGGTTCAACCCTCCTGTCTCCATTAGTCTCCCCTGCTTCTTCCTACTCCCCACCAGCAAACTCAGGCATACTCTCTGCTCATCTCCTGGCCCCTGCAAGGATTGGCCTCTTTACTGGAGAGTCGGGGAAGTGCTAGAGAGTCAGGGTAGTGCTGGAGAGAGACAAACTTGATGACATCTTAGAGTAGTGGATCCTGGATGAGAATTTTGACTGGTATGACTGCATGAGCAGTGATGTTGCTCCTGAAATCGATAACACACAGAGGGAGCACTCTGCTCGTTTGTGACATTTACTTTTTTATGGCCAGTGGAGGCTCTCAGCTCTGGAGATACTCTGTGTGAGGTGCCTGTGGGGCACCAGCAGGAGGGCAGTGGTCTGAGCTCAGGTGAGGGCCTTGGCATGGCATCTTGTTCTTTTGTTGTGAGCAGGACACTTGTACCAGGGCCCCAGGTACAGAAATGTAGAGAATTATACACAACTCCTAAACCCAGCTGAGGGGCCAGAATTGGGCACACTGCAGTGTGAGCTCCACAACAGAAACTAGCCAGGATGAAGTACTGAGCTCTGGGCTCTGAATAGTCCCTGGGCAGTACAAATGGTAAAAAAACTCAATGACTACGAACCCAGAGGCTGGTGGTTCGAACCCGTCCAGAGACTTCTCAGAAGACAGGCCTGGCGATCTGTCTCTGAATGGTCAGCCATTGAAAATCTCATGGAGCTAAAAATTCTGCTTTGAAATACATGGGGTCACCATGGGTCAGAAGCAACTCCATAGCAACTGGCTTGGTTGTTTTGGTTTTGGGGCTCTGAGCGGGCAGTGCATAGTAACCCTATTGAGTTGAATATGACTGTAGGTAGCCCAACCTCCTAAACACAGCTGCACACCAGGGTAGATGAGAACTGATCCAACTATAGGTAACATAAGGACCATACACTTTCTGAGACTGGAGGGCTTAGAAAATTATATGAGATGAAACAGCAGATTATTATATTATCTTTTGACAGTTTTGTCCACCAGTGGAATTGATATTTGAAAGAAAAAACCTAGAGATAATCTCTGTTATATGTTTGTAGAAAGTTTTGTCATTTGCACATTTACTTTTTTATTCTGCTACCCACTTTGTCTTCTTTTTTTGCTGTCCACCTCCCATCCCCATAACACACAACACATAGTGATTTCCATTACAGATTTTTAAAAGCAGAACACAGTGACATTTATTAGAAATGATAGCCGACAGAGCTGGGAGACATAGCTATAAAAAGTTTGTTGATATCCTTCTAGAAGTAATGCTGGTTTGGGTAGAAAAGCCATTACATGTTCTTAACACTTAAAGAGTTGTTTTCCTCTTAGACCTAAGTTCTGCAGTCCTCCTTTCTGTTTTTTTTTTTTTTTTTGTCATCCTTATCCTCTTTCCCCATCCCACTCATTGAGAACCAGAAAAGGTAAGAAGGAAATAGCTGGAAGGATCGGAGGAGACTAAGGCCAGTATCCAAAGCAGCATCAAGAAGGTGATATCACAAAGCTTAACTCGTGGAATAAGTTGAGGGTAGCCATAAGACAGAGGTGGGAAAGGAAGGTCCTTCAGACCATGTGCCCAGAGACTGTTTCAAGTGAATATTTTCCTTTCGTTCTTTAAATATGTATATTAAGCATCCCATGCATGCAAGACAGTGTACTGGCATTGGGGACAGAAATGTGAGTTACACTGGTATGTCTCTACCTCCTGTTTACTAGAATAAGGAGAGGTAAGAAGACATTAACACCCAGTAGCAGCACTCATCCCTTTTTTCAGTTTGTTTAGTTACAACGTAATTACAAGAAGCTTTACAAAGGAAGGGACAAGGTTGTAATCACTTATTGGTCACAGCCAGCTACCCAGAGGGAGCAAGTAGTTGAACCTGTAGGTTTGGGACCATAGTTGCAGGGGACATCAAGCTCAATTGGCATAACATACTACACAAAACATTGTTCCACCTCCTACTTTGGCGAGTAGCGACTGGGATCTTAAAAGCTTGCAAGCAGCCATCTAGATGCAACAATGGGTTTCTCCTTGTTCAGAGCAAAGAAGAGTGAGGAAAACCAAAGATTCATGGAAAGAATTAGTCCAAGTGACTGGTACACCATGCGATCCTCAGCTTATATGACTGTGAGACCAGAAGAACTAGATGGTGCCCGGCTGGCTACCACTGTCAACCACTTGGAGGGTGATCTGTGTAGGAGATCCTGGATAGAGGGGGAAAACATTGTGGAACAAAACTCAAAACCATTTGAAAAAAAAAAAAGGGGGCCAGGTTTGCTGGTTTGATAGAGCCTGGTGGAACTACTGAGACTATGGCCCCTAGCTTCCCTTTAGGTCTGGAATTGGACCCACACCTGTGGCTTCCAGCCAAGCAAAAGACAGGCATATGAGTTGAACATTTACCTGAGGTTGATACACTCCTTGGGAGAGAACCATCATGGGAGAAAGAAGGGTTGTTTATGCACAGGGAGACAGTTCAGGGGCCAGGAGTATATGGAGGGATGGACACAGGGAAGAAGTGGGAGGAAGTGGGAGAGGAGCTATTGCTTTGGTGTAAATTGTAGTCAGTGTCTGGAGACAAAGTGTATGTGAAGTGTTGTATGGAAAGTGAATTTGGTCTGTAAACTTTCACCCAAATCACAGTTAAAAAAAAAAAAAGAAGCTCTACAAAAGGTAAGTTGCTGTCAAGTGGATTCCAACTTGTGACCTCCGTCCTGTACCATCTTCACGATCATTGTGTGTTTGACTCCGTTGTTGTGGTTATTGTATCATTGCATTTCGCTGAGAGTTTCCCAGTATGGAGTATATAAATGATAGAGTCAGAATGTTTAGGGAGTAGTGGTCAGCAGAAACTTCCTTGAGCAATCCATACTTAAGCTGAGGGTGGGGAGCAGTTAGGTAAAATAGGGGTGGGATAGGGTTGGGATGGGGGTGCTGTCTTAGTTATCTAATGCTGCTGTAACAGAAATACCACAAATGAGTGGCTTTAATTAACAAATTATTTTTCTCACAGTTTGTTGTTGTTGTTGTTGTGTGCCGTCGAGTCGGCCCCGACTCATAGCGACCCCTCCTTGGGTTTCCGAGGCAGTATCACTACAGAAGTAGGATTGCCCAACCTTCCTCCTAATCTGATTCAAGGTGCTTGCTCTAGGGGAAGGTGTGTTCTTTCTCTCTCTCTGTCTCCCCTGGGGTAAAGAAGGCCTCTGTCTGTTTTCAACGTCTGTTTCTAGGTTCCTTGGCAGTTATGTGGTGTGTTACCTTTCCCTCCATTTGTGTTTACTCGATTTAATCTGCTCTTTATATCTCAAAAGAGATCAATTTAAGACACACCCTGCACTAAAATGTCTCATTAATGTAACAAAGAAAACCCATTCCCAGACAGGATTATAACCATAGGTATAGGAGTTAGGATTGACAATACATATGTTTTGGGGACACAGTTCAATCCATAACATTCCACTTCTGACCCTCAAAATTTGTGTGCTTCCTACATGCAAAACACATTCACTATCACATCCTCCTAAAAGTCTTAAATCAACTCCAAGTCTAAACTCTCATCTTCTGAATCATCTAAATAAAGCATAGGTGAGACTGTGGGTGGTATTCTATCCTATAGCAAAATTCCTTTCCATCAGTGGATGTATGAAAATGGAATACAAGTTACCTACTTCCAAAGTGCAATGGTGGAACAAACACAGGATGAACATTTTTTTTTTTTTTTCTTTTACTTTATTGTCATGAGAATAT